TAAGATTCTTTGTTTGAGTTGTATCCATATTCATGTGTCTTCCCATGAGCAATCATTAAACAATGAAATAACAGTTGGTCTAAAATTGGTAAAGCATTACACTGAAGCTACAGAGGTGTAATAAATGCATAAAAACTTAAAGAATTTCAGAAGTGAATTTTAAGACGATATAACATAACAGCATTTATCCCTTGTAATCTAAAGTACTTTTGATCTCTGCTAAGAAATAGACACTTCCACTTTTGAAGCACTCTTTTCAGACCATGTCTTATTCTCTTGATTATTATTTCTTTGAATAATGGTGAGGGTTGAATTGAGTAACTATGAAAAATTCTATTTCCAAAATGGGTAAAGATCCTATTAAGGAGCTTCGGGTACAGGTATACTAATCAGCCACTAATAATACTCGTTATAACTACCTCTTATTTCTCATGTAGAACTGCAGAATTATCAGAAGAAACAAGAAATATTTTGAAAAAGCCGACATTTGACAACTGGTATGCTTGAGCCCCCTGTATTATTTTTTTATATGATATGTACATGTATCTTTAAGATATCAAATATTTACTGTTATGAAATATTTGAGATATAACGCGCGCGCTGATTGGCTGGCTACCGTGTTTATATCAGAGGACAGAGACACGCTCGCGCGAAATCATACAAAAATATTTTATGAAAGCGATATAAAACGTCCGCGTCTCTACGACTTCTCTCTTTCTCTACAGCTCCCATCGTGTTTATATCACAGTATATAGACACGCGCGCCGTATTATATTCCTTAACTGATTGACATCGATGTGCTTTCTTCTAGGCAATGGGAAGAGGAAGAAATGTTATACCTATTACAACAGATGTATGTGGATTTAGGATTATTAGACTCGTTTAACATTGAGGTGAGCTTAAGTAAAGTTATTTAAATTTTACAGCGCTTCTCAATTCCACGCGCGAAATCGTACAATACATTTGCCATCGTGACGAAGTAGGTTTTGGTGGACGTCAATCAATACGTTTCCATGACATTCTATAGGCACGTGCCCTTAAAGGCTTTGTGTTTTCCAACAATGCTGGGAAACACTGTCATTGGCGTTTACCAAAAATCTATTATGTCTATAAAGATTTTTTCCCCGCCGATTTTGCGCGTGTTATTGAGATTCGCGCGTGTGATCACGCTAGCTTGAATTTAAATTTGGCCAACAAACGTTTGCATTACGGTATTCGCTATCRCTAGCCTCTGGCAACCACACACTAAATGCTATATTCAGAGATGGCATAAAGATAAAAAGATTTTTTTTACAATAACTTACAAATTTCTCGCGCGCAGATTGGTTATTTTTTATCATCAATAAGAGGACAGACAGATAAAGCTGACATCAACGAGCGCGCGCTCTTTCCGTTAGTTGTTTTGATCAGTAAAGATGAGAAGTTTTTATCGCTTTTGTTATTTTAAAAAACAAATTGACATCAGTTTTTTATGTGTCTGTCCTCCGTCTTATTGACGATAAATTTCGTCATCACATTGTCAAAGTAGTATGCGGATCCACACTACTTTGACAATGTGTTGACGCAATAAGAGGACAGACACATAAACAATTTGTTAAATGGCGGAGGAGAGTTCCCTTCATGTGGAAAGTGAAATGTTCTTTTATATTTCGGGATTCCTGTGGTATCGTTACCACAGGAAACCCAGTATCTGAAAGCGTTTTCTAAAAAGAAATAAAATGCGAACTTTAGAAAAGGGGAGGTACACTAGTGGGTAATTAAGTAATTTGTTACGTATTTATATATATWTTTCATTAAAACAGAGATCAACACTACAATATTTCCTGTACGAGGTGTATCGACATTATAACCCAGCGCCATTCCATAATTTTAGACACGCGTTTTGCGTCACCCAAATGGTAAGACATTTTGCTCGGGGTTTTACCAGTTCAATGTTTACCTACGGCTGTAATGTGATGTAACGTTGTCCCAGAGTATTTAAGAATACTTGTCTGAAAACCACTCTAGTTGAATGATAAGTTGATTTTGCGCTTTATGTTTCGCTAAACAAGCTTAATACTGTACCACTGTATATGGGTTTTGCGTCATTTGCTGTGCCGTGTCGTGCTGTGCCGTGCTGTAAGTGCTGTACCTTGCCGTACGGTACGTCGAATGTTTGTCTTGCATTGTTCTTCATGCGTACTGTATATATGCCATAAAGTTTGTTTGTCATGTCTCGAAAGCCACAAGACGTGCCAAGCACCGTATGCTGCACGTCTACCATTATATTCCCTCATTCAACAAAGGAAGGTGCCCTTGATGTAGAATTCTAACAGGAGTTATTTGTATGTCTGTCTTGTCCTATTAGATGTATGGTTTAATATGGATGACAGATATCTCGTCAAAAATTGAACCTCATGAAATCTTGATCATGTTGACATCAGCACTGTGTCACGACTTGGACCATCCGGGATACAACAACGCTTATCAGGTAGGACCTAGTCCTCTACACCGTTAGTCTTATCTTTTGACCGTTTGACCGTGTGAAGTGCTTAACTGGAAACTGAGGTCCAATCAATCTCAGTTTATTTAAAGGCCTTACGACAATTATCATTTCTTTGTTTGAGGAGGCAGCTTTTTAACTGCAAAGCATTTCCTTAATTTCAAGGGGAAACTCGTAGAGCATAGGATTGCCGGGGTATATCTAGAGGGGTCCTAGGGTTCCCGTGACCCACCTTGTAGTTTGGAATTAGTTGGTTAGTATAGGAAAAGGTGCATCTTCTAGAATTTCGGACCCCCCCCCCCCCTCCTCCTCCTCCTCCTCCTCCCCCTTCCCCCTCAAAATCCTAAATATGCCCCTGGGCCCAGTTGTTCAAAGCCCGATTAGTGCTAATCCTGGGTTAACTCTCAATAAGACCTATAGAGTTAATCCTGGATTAGCGCTAATCCAGCTTTGAACAACCCGGCCCTGGACTGTGGGGCTACATATGAGGACGCAAATTGGCGGAGCTTTTTTGGTCTCGTATCCAGTCCCACAACATATGCTCTAGGAGGTCATTACCAGTCTTTCTTTACCTTCAGAGACGCAAATAACTGATACTTACTGATTGGCTTTTGGATTTCAATCGCAGATCAACGCAAGAACAGAGTTGGCATTAAGATATAACGATCTATCGCCCTTAGAGAATCACCACTGTGCTGTAGCATTCGATATCATGTCTCAGGTACAGCAATCATGGCCACTCAAACAGATTTTTTACTAGCATGTGAGGGTAGTAAGGTTTGGTGTGCGTAATCAAGTACTGACGCGGGATTTTCTCTTACTGGATTCGAGAGTTTTCCTCCCTCTCTTTATGCCGTAAAACCACATTCTAAACCATCTAAGCGTAATTCTAATTCGACCTGTGAGTCAGCCTTGCACTGAGATTAAGTATTTTAGTGTATAGATAAAATTTGGGGTTTTTTTTTTGCGTTTTCGTGGTTTTTATTGATTCGTTCAGATTGAAAGTGGAAATAATTCGCGTAATAGTTAAGGTTCTTGCGAGCGAAAGAGTTAAGGAGAAGCGGTGAATACGTTTCAATGCACGCAACAGTTGCACCGTGTGAGTAAGCCTGCCTCTCACTACCTTACTAGACTGTAAACGGTACCAAACTTTCTGTACAGGTTCACATAAGAGCTTGAGTCGGGTTTTCTTGCTGTTATCTCACCCCAATCCCCACGCATCCTAGAGACCAAACCCGCGAGCGGGACTGAGCCTAGAGGGACAAGACGGACAGTATTAGCTGTTGCAAAGTTGAAGAACAAAACTGGGTCGGATTGGCATTGCAGTGCATTGTGGGACTGTTTAGGGGACATTTCCAAGATGACATCTTTTTCGCCTCCTAAAACAGCCACAAAATGCACTGCAATGGCAACTCGACCCCGCTTTGCCCTTCAACCTCGAATGACTAATAAAGTCTATCTATCGAGAATCTGTTCATCTTATACATGTTTTTTTTACTGCCCAGTGACATTTTATTTCTCTTTTTATCAGAATGAATCAAATATTCTTAAGAATGTTAGTCCCGAGATGTTCAAAAAGATGCGTGAAGGAATGATAAAGTAAGTGCATAATTCTTCACACCTTGCCTGAGTCGGTGGATTTATAGGAAATCTTTCATTCTCACAACGCTCAGTTTTGATTTATCGACGTGCAAAACACTCTTTGGTGACTCAAAGGTTCACTAGGCAAAAAAAWTCATACAAAATTCGTACAGTGGTACCTCTATTGAAGACCTTATCATAAATAAAAATTGAATTGGGACTGCTGAATAGAGGTTTCTTTAACAGTAATTATGGAAGAAAACTTTGACACCGTAAAACTAGATGTCAGTTATCAAAATGAAGGGTGTCCGCTTGATAAGGGTCACTGTATTTGATGATAACGCGTTCGCTGATTGCCTGGCTATCGTGTTTATATGAGAGTACAGAGACAAGCTCGTGCAAAATAAAATCATAGAAGCACAATATGAAACTCCTGCTTTTGTCTCCGTACTGTGATATTGCAGAGCATTCAAAAGCAAGAATAGTCCCCTTCACAGTTCCCTGCGACATCTTGAAAGGTAGCCGTGCCTTTGCATCGAAGCGAGACGAACGGTGAGCTTGCAATGATAGAGACATGTGAATCGTCCAAGGTGTTAAAAAAAGCTCTCGATCGTTCCAAGTTCACCGTTCGTCTCGCTTCGATGCAAAGGCACGGCTACCTTTCAAGATGGCGCGCGGGACTGTGAAAGGGACTATTTAGATCTTATCATTGTATTGTTCCAGGTGTATACTAGCGACAGATATGGCCAGACACTCGGAGATTCTCAAGAACTTTAAAGAAATGCTTAAATCTGGCTTTAAGTTCGACAATGAGGGTCATAAATTAATGGTGAGTCATTATGGTACCAATTCATGGTACGGACTGAAACAATAGCGAACCAATCATCGTTGCAGAAGTTTTCAACGTGGAATTTAGATCTTCTCTAACAAACAACTACGCAATATCTGTTTTGAGACAAATTTCTTTTAATTTTCAGGACATTAAGCAATTCTCCGAAATCCGATTTTCATCYCTTTGCAGAAATAAATTCCAATTCGGTCTGACGTCGAGTGCTTTAGTCATGTACTTGTGGCTCGGGACACTGTCCAAACATTCCCTACGTATTTGACGTAAAATAATTACATTAACATGTTTTGATTGTCTAGTACTGTATTCATCTCCTATGTCATCCGTGTGTCCCTTACCGCAAACGTCGATCGCTTACCCGCGTCTCTATAGCTAAGACTAGTGATAGATATGTTTACGGCTCTCTGGGAGAGCATTTTTTTTCTTTCTCGTCCCTTAACTTACCATACATGTTTTTTAAAGCCATTCCGAGGTGGAGTAAAAGCCTGGGTCGAGGTAGCATCGCAGTGCATTGTGGGGCTGTTTTTGTGGACATATTTCTAAGATGACGTCTGCTTTGTCCCCTTTAACTGTCCCAAAATACACTGCAATGTCAACTCGACCCAGGATTTTACTCAACCTGGGAATGGCTAAAAGATGTGCTTTGTTTTATTAGTTGATGCAAATAATGATCAAAGTATCAGATGTGTCTAACGAAGCACGACCCATGGATGTAGCTGAGCCTTGGTTAGACTGTTTACTACAAGAATTCTTTACTCAGGTCTGTAAATACTCGCGTTCTTTTCTCATTTTATCTCCTTTTTTTCCTATTTCCTTTTTCTCATTTTTTTCTTCTAATCAACTCCTCTGTTGTCACCGTCATTACGTCGTATTATTTTGTATTAATCCCATTTCTCATCTTTCTAATTCATTTTTCCTCTTTATTTTATCCCCACAAGAGGTTCTGATAAGGGCTGTCTCTTTTTCATTTTTTCCAGAGTGATGTAGAGAAGATGGAGGGGTTACCAGTAGCGCCATTCATGGATAGAAATAAAGTAACCAAACCGTCTGCACAGATTGGATTCATCAAATTTGTCTTGATTCCTTTATTCGAGGCTCTTGGAGAATTATTCCCAATTCTAGAGGTAAGAAATTTATACAGCCATTTTGTACATGCCTACATTATCAATAGAGACCCTAGCACGACGTTCTTGCTAGTTACAGCCAGCCTCAAATGATAACAAAGCACAACGTTGACAAAAAATACTTTTTTGTATGAACATGCTAATTTTCTTTACTCCGAAAAAAGTCGACTTTACTTCATCAAAGATAGCATTTCGACCAACTAGTCAGAGCGCGCCTCAGAACTCGGCCATCTTTTGTTAAAAAATTGAATTGGGCACTTTAGGAACGAGCAAGAGACTGGGGCGTGTTTTGAATTTAATCTTATCAGGAAAAACATTTTGTCATTTGAGAAAGCATCTCAATATTAGTATGTATATATGATACAGTGTCCCTTGTACCCATACATTCTTCGACACTTTTGAAGGCCAATAATTCTGTTTTTTTTTTCATCCATGTTCAAATTTGCCAGACTTACTTCAGTATTTGGAGATGCTTTCTAGAATGGCGAGCGTTTTTTTCCTAGAGGACTCTGGGTACGAGATTGCTAATAAGATAAAAATTTAAAACTCGCCCCAGTCTCTTGTTCGTTTCTAAAGTGGCTTATTGCACACAGTATCTTTTTTGGTTGTTTCAGGAACATCTTATTTCACCAGTTCGTAAAGCTCTCAGTTACTACGTCGACATGGGACAAACCATGGAAAAAGAGCTGAAGAAGAAGAACTCACGAGAAGAGAATGATAAACAACAAGTCGTTGATCACATACGGAAAGAGCGAGATAAAGAAACAGCGATCCTAATCAATGGAAGGACCAACAATAAATCATAACATTATGAGTATCATACTTAGAGCGCATGCAGTAAAACCATGAAATAAAAACAAAGTTGATACAGACAAATAGTAGCTATTTAGTGACTAATAGTTGCTATCACTCAACCAGAACATTTATTAAACAAAAGACACAAATGTTCTCTTGTGTATTTGTCTTTGTATGATGAACGTTCTGGTTGAGTGATAGCAACTAGTACTCACTAAATAGTGCTATTTGTCAGTATCGACTTTGTTTTTATTTCATGGTTTTATTGCATGCGCTCTATCATATTTGATCCAAATTTGTATATACACTTATTTCAAAAAAGTTAGTCACCTGAAAAGCTATAAAGCTGAGGCCCACAAGAATTATGGGTAGATTCATTTTACACGTTCAACCGCTTGATAACTGTTCATGGACTTGCGAATCTTTTACCGGTTACAGTCTCACCTTTTCTGCGCATCATCGAGCTGCAGTGTGTATTAAAAAAAGCTTTGTATATATATGCTTTTTTGATATGCAAAGTTTCCCATGATGCTCAGTAATCTCAGCTTTCTAGGTTTTTGGTGACTAACTTTATTGAAATAAGTGTATACAGTTTAAGAATATTGCTCTATATATTCTCCGTACTTTAACTAACACAAAAAGGCCGCCCAATCATGATGCTTTGTTAATTCATTTCGTTCCTGAAACGCTCACCGTCACAAACGTGTTTTTCTCAACGCAATAAGCTTTTGAAAATATAACTAATAAATAATCAGAAAGCAGGAGGTTATTAGGGACAAAGGAATCTCCCAGTATGATCTTTTGTGAAAAGTTTATCTTGAGATATATTGATGGCCTTCAATCAACAGGCCTTATTTTTTGCGCAAAAATGTGCAGTTTTCTTCCGGCTTTACTACGGTTTTCGATATTCTGCACACTCGGCAGTTACAAGCTGCACGCTGAAATAGCTGTYGTTGCAGTTGGAAATTCTTTCGTTTTAAGGACCATACAAGTGAGGCTTTCGGGCCGATACAATGCTTGCCGTCAATCAAAAATGATCAGTCGGTACCTTTTACGTTCTTGGCTAGCGGAAGTGAAAAATCAATTTACAACAAGCCGCAACGAAAAGAGATGGCGTTCTCGTATTTATTGAGCAATTTCACATCTAGAGGACGAGAGATGAACCCGTTTCCAGAGCCCCTTCCTCCCAAAATGTTGTTCTAAATGTTCTGGTATCACTTACCCGTCTTAGGTCTACACTTGTGGGTGTTAACGGTCCTAGTTTCGAGTTCACTCGAGCGAAATCGGGAAAGATCTATATTAGTTCGCGACGCGTGAATGAAGAAACCACATTTCTAATTTTTCTACGAAACTAATCTAACTTGATTCTTTAATCAGTCTCTGCTCTATTTTTGTATTTATATTTTATGGGACGACGAATCCTTATACAGGGAACGAATCAATTATGTATATCATTCGAAAAAATAAAATATATACACTATATCACGAATTGCTTGTTGTTTGGTGAAAAAAAGGGAAAAAATCGCCACTGCAAAGTTGTGAGGAAGACTTGTAACAGCTTCATATGCATAGAATTGTGGGCGAGAAATTGGGAGAACGTTTTCCATCTCGTTCTACTGAATTTCAGCCCCATAATCCTTTTCAGGCAACCTCGCAGGCTTATCGACACGTCATTTTACTTGGACTATAATGTTTCCCAAAATTCTATGCAGCACGCGATCATTACCAGTCTTATTTTGAACCTCGGTAAAGCGTATTGATGTATTTAGTAAGGGTCTAATTTGGTCTGTTTCCCACAATCCCATGCAGCACGAGGTCGTAACCAGTCTTTGTTTGAACCTCGGTAAAGCGTACTGATACGGCCTTTTACTTAGGGACTAATATTTTTCATTTAAAACTAGCGCGACTTGATGGTGATATGAAAATGATGATGATGTGATGGTGATGATATGATAGTGATTGGATAATGATGATGATGATGACAAAATATAACCATTATTTTTTCAAGTTTATTGCAAACCAATACTTTTTCCAAAACTAAATCATTGTCACGTGGTGTAAGACACTGTCGTGCATCATGGTACCATCGTGTAACAAAATGAATACTTTATGAAACAAAACTTATTCTCATTCAAAGGTTAACTTTCAACTTTGAGTCAGCTCAGCCTGTAACCACTTCCCAGAAGGTAGTTTCCTTTCCCAATGGACCTTTTATCACACGGCGGCCATGTTTAATCTCACGAGATTAAAAACCTTTGTTTCATCTGCATAAATTCATTCTCAAGCACTTGAATGCGAGGCTACGTGTGGTGGAATCTATTGTTCAAACCAACATGGCTGCCGCGTGAAAAAGGCCCAAATATAAGGAAATACCTTCACTGTCAAAATTTGTGAATAAGGACCCTCTAAAACGTCCTCTACCATACATGGAAAACTACGTATGGTATGTATTTACTATGACACTAGATGCCTTCACAATACCAGAACCTGGCTCTAAAGTCATCACTACAAGAAACGAAGGCAGCACCAGCTGGTGAATGGACTAGACAACGGATGTGGTTATTGTGACCTGAAAACAAATGCAAAGGAGAATAAGAAACAATCCTTTGACAAGGGTGCAAGGCGCTATGATCGAACACCTTTATGAAACAGCGCTCAGAAACTTTCAAAAGTTCAAGATTGAAATAGCTAGAGTTTGGATAAAATAGCCCGTTTGCATGATGGTGTCATTTTACTACGACTACCAAAGATGCTTCGCAAATTTTCTTTCTTATTTAAATTTATATTCCCTCATGAGAATAGTAAGGTGATTGGTGCTAATTACCGGAACAAAAGAAAGAGTGCAAGGGATTCTGGTATAGTGGTAGTAAATGACGTCATCATGCAAGTCTACTCTTTAGTAGGGTCTCACAGCTCCTTACTATAACTGCTTTCCTTTACAACTTCTACTTTATTGCCGCTAAAAGGCAATTCCTATATCGTGTAAGTGTGTGGCCAAGAATATGATAGCACTGCTTACCAGAAGCAATTATTAATTAGCAATTATAAAATAATTGGGATACTACGCGCGCTATGATTGGTCGAAAACCATGTTTGATGAGAGTATCAAAACACGCTATCGTCATTTTTAATCTATCGTGCGCGCTCATTGGTCAGTTTGAATAAGACTGCACGTAGGGAGAATTTACTTAGACTTTGCTTTTTTTCGATCTTTTCGCGAGTTTGTTATTTTATAAAACAGACCAAAAACAGTTTTCTGTGTTTGATACTCTGATCAAAACACGCGGGATGTTGGGAGAACACGAGAGGAGCGTAGGAAACCACGACGCGTAGCGGAGTTAATTAATCTGTTAATTATTATTATTACCAGAAGGAAGGGATTTCTGTTTCTCTGTGGTTCTCGTGTCCCAGCAGGATATGCTGTTATTCTTCTCATCAGCGACAAGAACTGAATTGTAAAACAACAAATGCATTATAATATTATCTTCATCATCACCTCAAATATTTCCTCTAGAATAAACAAAATCAAAGCAAACGATTTCTAAATCCAGATTTGCACCCACTTTTCTTGATTAACTCACATCTCAAAAATAATGCAAAGAAGACTGAAAACGTATAGAGAAGTTTGTCTGCGCATGTGCCACCCCATCCAATCAGGAATTACTGTAAGCCCACTTTTATCGTTACAATTCTTACCAGTCTCTTTCAGCTACTCACTTCGTATTCGCCGCGCGCGCATCGATAAGAATGTGTGCAGTATGAATGACAATCTCTTGGCTGATCGAGGTCAGATCGGTAACTTAACTCTGACGACTGACGCCAATAAGATAATGATAACGGCAATCAACATAGATTCGCTTACAGCAACAATGACAACAACAGCAGCAACTGCAACAAAAACAACAACAACAAACATTTACTCACTGAAATCTTCTGTGTGGTTAAAAATAACTTGTGTCCGATAGTTGGTCATCGCTGCTCCAGTGTACATGTTTACAGCACGACCTACAAGAACAAAACGAAAGAGTTTTACATCAAAATCTATAGGATTATCTCTATCGTGGGTAGTCGGGTACATTCAAACCTGTTAGGCAGTTTCACTTGCTAGTGACGTTGACGAAAAACCTGTGTCGAGTTGGCATCGCAGTAAATTGTGGGGCTATTTTCGGGGGAGAAATAGACGCCATCTTGGAAATATGTCCCCTAAAACAGTCCCACAATGAACTGCAATGCCAACTCGATTCAGGGCTTTCCTTAACTTTGCAACGGCTAATTGTTTTTTACCTGTAGAGAGTTCCCATAGGAACACGTTAGAGTCTTTTCCACTTGAAATAAGATACTAAAAGAGAATAATAATAATAAAGTGGCATGGTAAGGAATTGACTATATCCGCTAATCCAATCACAGAGGTGACAGAGCGCTAGACTACCGGTTAACTCAGTTGGTAAGAGCGTGGGTCTGTTGTGCGGGAGGTCGTGGTTCAAGCCTCGGCCGAACCAACACTCAGGGTCTTAAAATAACTGAGGCGAAGGTGCTGCCTTTGTAATTACATCTGCAAATGGTTAGACCTTCAAGTCTTCTCGGACAAGGACTTAAAACCGTACGCCCTGTCTCCCAACCCTTCCTAACCTACAGTAAATGGGGGACACAAAAGAACCTGTTGAATTATTCGTGTAAGAGTAGGGGTTTGTCTCCCGGTTCAACAGCCTATCCCAATTTGGAGGCATAATACTAACCTACTAACAATTCACACTCATGATTGTAAGCTGCACGGCTGCCATGGCGCCTTAATACGCAGCCCGTAAAGTCCTCCACTGGTTATAAATGTAAAGCGCATTGAGATATTTGAAATGCGCTATATAAGTACCCCTTTATTATTATTATTATTACTGATCTCGTCCAATCAAAAAGCGCGAAAATGGCCCATCTTGATCATAGTGTCGTAAGTTTTTTCCACAGTCATACGATATCTGATGTGAAGGATTATTGGTAATACCCAGGTGATACCCGAGAACACCATCTCCAGGAATATCGAGTTGAGCTACCTTTGGCCTGGCCACGCGCGCAAGGTCTTATGTACTGATTTAATGAAGTGGTTATAGAACACGTA